CCTCGTCGCTCGTTTTAACGAGAAATTCCCTGACCCAGCCCCCCAAAAGTACGCCGCCACGGCTCCTAAAACCCCCCATGTCCCAAATTCCAACGAGTGCTCTCGTATGGAACTTTCGACCGCGGGCACCGACGAAGACGACGAGGGCCTTCAAACCCAAAAGTTGAAACGTAGGCGCCCCAGCAAGTCCCCTAAAACGACCCCGCCTTCAGCCATCAAGAACACACCGACTCCGCCAACCCAAGCCGCCGTACCCACTTCTGAAGTCAACGCCTCAACCTCCATTGCAGCCGCCCCCGAACGTATTCCCCCAGTCACACTTCGGGACAAATCCAAATGGCAAACCGCCACCGCCCTCCTAGACTCCCTAAAAATCCGCTTCAGGTCCGCGGCAAATTCCGACGACGGTATTAAAATTACCCCACCGTCGACTACCGATTACAGACAGATGACAGCCGCCTTCAAATCACATGACCTCCACCACCACACCTACTCCCTTCAAAGCGAGAAATCGCTGAAAGTCGTCTTCCGAGGCATCCCGGAATACACCACCGCGGAAGACATCACCCTGGAATTAAATTCCAAGGGATTCACTCCCTCAAAAGTGCACCAATTCCACCGCCAAGACAAAACCCCAATGCCCATGTTCCTGGTCATCGTACCAAGGGAACAAAGCTCCATTTATCAATTGACTCACATCGCACGAGTTTCTATCAGGGTTGAAACCCTCCGGAACGCGGCTTCCGTGGGGCAATGCTACCGCTGCCAGCTCTTCGGCCACGCGCAGTCCAAATGCACCGCACCTCACAAGTGCGGCGCCGGCCACCCAACCCACACCTGCCTCAAGACCCCAGATCAACCCGCTCAATGCGCAAACTGTGGAGGCTCCCACACCGCAAACCACCGCGGTTGCCCCAAGTACCCCCAACCCAAACCCACCACCATCACCCCCAGCATCCGTAACACCCCAAACCCATGGGTCTCAGCCACCCCGGCTGCTCAAGCCCTGTTTCCCACCAGCACAGCCACAAATCCAGGCAAGCAAGCGAACATAGCCGCCGTACTAGGCCAAATGTTCCTCACCTTCTCCGCGTCAAACCCCACCACCAAGTCCTTCCTCCAACAATCCCAGCAACTCATAAACCTTACCCTAGCAAAAATGGCTAACATTTTAATCCCTTCTTCCATCAATATCGCGTTCTGGAATGCAAACGGCATCCAGCACAAAATCCATTAACTAACCCACTTCCTAATCCACCACGACATCGATGTCGTCCTGATCAGCGAAACCCACCTAAGCCCCTGCATAAACCCAAAAATCCCAAACTATTCCCTATACCGCTCGGACCGGAAAGGTCGAGGCGGCGGTACCGCCATCTTCGTGCGCCGCCAACTCAAACACCACCCCGGCCCAGTTTCCCAGGCAGACAACATCGAATCCACGTCTATCTTCATCGACACGACCACTGACCAACTTAAACTGATTTCCTGCTACAAACCCCCCAACGCCCCACTGACGGACAGCGACTTGGAAAAACTCTTCGTCAGAAACTGCCCCACGGTGGCGGCCGGCGACATCAACTGCAAACACACAGATTGGAATAGCCGCGTCTGCAACACCAACGGGCGAAAACTTCACACATACATCGACAACCACCCACAACTTTCTATCCTAGGCCCCCAAGAACCGACCCACTTTCCCGGAGACACACGTCCCGACGTCCTAGACATAGCCATCCTCCAAAACGTCCGATTCCTCCCCACCATCTTCACCGTCCCCGAGCTAGGCTCGGACCACAACCCCGTCATCCTCCACCTAGGCGACCCCACGCCAAATATATACACGCAAACCACCAACATCACCGACTGGCCCTTGTACACCTCGCACCTCCAAGACTCGCTGGGGCACATCCCAGTCATATCAGACAAGCACGACCTCGACAAACACACCCAACACCTCCAATCCTGTATCCTAGCCTCCCATTCCCACGCCACCACCACCAAGACGACGCTCGGCAGACCCAAAACCGCCATCCCCCCCGAACTAAAACGCCTAATCCGCCAAAAGAACCGCGCTAAACACATCTGGCAACGAACCCTCCACCCCGACGACAAGCGCACCCTAAACGCCCTCCAATCCGAGGTCCGCACAGCTCTCTTCCAGCACAGGAACTCCACCTGGGCTGACAAAGTCTCGTCCCTAAACGACGACACCACCTCATTATGGCGTATGGCGAAAATCCTACGAAACACCACCCCCAAAACAATTCAACCCCTTCACTCGACAAACGGGCTAGTCTTCTCCCCTGAGGAAAAGGCCGAAGCCTTAGCCGACAACCTCGAGCTCCAGTGCTCCCCAAACCTTCGCGATGCCGACCTCGACCGCATTGAGCAAATCGAAAGATCAGTTGCACACCTTACGCGATCTGACTACCAACGATCGCATCCACCCAGCCTCCCCCCAGAAAATCAAGTCTCTGATCCGCAAGCTGCGGAAGCGAAAAGCCCCCGGCCCCGACGGCATTACCAACACTATGATCTCTTACTTCCCAATCAAGGCCATAGTTTTATCTGACCACGATCATAAACGGAATGCTCAGACTCTGCCACTTCCCGGACATCTGGAAACGGGCAAATGTCATTGTAATTCCCAAACCCATGAAAGACCTCAAATTCCCACAAAATTACCGACCCATCAGCCTCCTTGCATCTCTCTCCAAGATAGCCGAGCGATGCATCCTCACCCGCCTAAACATCGAACTAACCCGTCTCCAGCTCATCCCGCCGGAGCAATTCGGTTTCCGCCCCAAGCACTCCACCACCGAACAACTCCTAAGAGTCACAGAATACTGCTACCACAGCATGGCCAATAACCAGGCTGCGGGCGGCGTATTTCTGGACGTGTCCAAAGCCTTCGACAAAGTCTGGCATGACGGTCTGATCTATAAACTCTCGACAGCCCACATCGACCCGCAGATCACTAAACTCATTCACTCTTTTCTCACAAACAGATCTTTCCAAATAAAAGTCATGGACACCCTCTCCTCCACAAGGCCCATCGCAGCTGGAGTCCCGCAGGGTTCGGTCCTATCCCCCACACTCTATAACATCTACACCCACGATATCCCCAAGGCCCCCAACGTCGAACTGGCGCTTTACGCAGACGACACCGCCCTCCTGGCCCACTCCTAGAACATAGACCTCCTCACATCACGTCTACAATCAAGCCTCGACACCCTAGAAAGATGGCTCTCAGACTGGCTGATAGAAGTCAACGGCGACAAAAGCACTGCCACCATTTTCACGAGAAAACGCAAGCACCATCCCCGACGGCAACTCCAAATCTTCGGCCAAGGCATCCCATGGTCAAACTCATCCAAGTACCTAGGAGTCACCCTCGACTCCAAACTCAACTTCGCCCAGCACACCACAAACGCTACCAACAAAGCCCGCGGCACCATCAAGACCCTCTTCCCGCTGCTATGCCGAAACAGTCAGCTCAACACGAACAACAAGCTCCGCCTATACAAAGCCATCGTCAGGCTGGATCCACATGATACGTGATTCACGGATACGTTGTTACCACGAACCAATGGCGATCGCTTACTCTCGCAACGTACGCTGCCAAGGTCACCACGGATTGAAGTTGGTTAATTTCAACTTCAATGCGTGATTTTTATCCGTCGTGAGCATTTTTAGGTTATTTGTTTGTAAACATCGTGCAGATTTTTAAATAATGTCCTCACAATCGCAAATCGTGTACAAATGTGGTTATTGTGGATATTTAATAAATAGTTACTGTGATAACTACATGGATCATGAATGTTTTAAAGAAATAGTTGAATCCGCCAATGTAAAAGAAATCGACAAATGGAATTTGTGTGCTAATGATCAAAATGTTTTAACTTTGAGTAAGTCCGCATTAACATTTTGTTATTCAAAATAGTGTGTAATACAGATAGGTAAACACAGCTGCAATAAATTTATATATTTTTTAGAACCTACAAGTGTGGATAACGAAAACCAAATCCCGGTCGAAGAATTGCCAACGCCTGCAGTAAATCAAATCAATGACGAGTTATTAATCTCTTTGGTATATGCACGTAAACCGTTGTGGGATTTCAGAACTCCCGTGCAGGAAAGGCATGGTCTCAAACTAAAAAAGTTGTGGGAAGAAGTTGCAGTACTATTGGGAGGTAAACAGACAATTAATACATTTTGATGTAACTTCACATTGGTAAACAAAATCATTATGCTTATCTGTTGTAACAATATTATGAGAAATGTAATTTAAGATTTCTAATATAGTTGATGTTTAGGCCAGTTAATTGATGCAGTAAAAAAAAGGTGGAGGCAGCTGAGGGACGATTTCATGAGGGCCAGAAAAAAGCACAAAACATATGTTCCAAGTGGTTCTGGAGCAGATCATTTACCCCCACAGCCTACCTTTAAATACTATGAATTGATGAGATTCCTAGATGATACTGAAAATATGACGTATGTAAAGTGATAATAGCACTTAACACAATATTTTACATCTATATAGGGTAGTCATAGATATTGTCAGAATGTTTTGCTTTGTGTTTTAGAACTATTTCAAATGTAAGCTTGGGACCATCAACATCTAATAGTGGTGCTGAAATCATCCCATCCGGATCACCATCACCAAGCCTGTCCTCACACTCTGTCGGAAATAAAAAAAAGAGTTAGTAATATGCGTCAATTACTTTTTATGAGCAATCTCATAACAGATATTATTCATTATACCTATTTATACTAATACTAAAATTAAATTACGCTTTATAAGTAAGCACAGATGTGAAGTAAGTAATGCACAAACTTTTTTGCAGGAGTATCTGAAGCTCGATCTGAAGGATATGAAACTGAAATCCAGAAGGAA